TCAAAGTAGGACATATTATTCTCCATTATACATATTACTATACCTGTACATCAGAAACATTATAGGTTATAACATTCCATTCGTCAATGCCACCATGCGCACATGCCATATTTATGCATACACTGGGAAAAAAGTACTAACCAAAACCGACTACCACACCTCTGCCTACAGTAAAATATACTGTATACTCATTGCAAATACTGTATAGAATAGAGTGGAATCAAACCAATAAAATGTTAATTACCTACAGGTAACTATCATTCATGAGGTATAGCAATGACATTTGCATTAAAATAAACTAGAAAATTTATACATGCAGGCAGTACTGGTATTTTACCTTAATTACACTTTTGTTTAAATAGAGAACTGTAAAAACCCTCAAGGAGATACTGGTTGAAAATATAACTAAAATAATTTAAATACACCTTGTTCTCCCCCAATTTTAAAAACGAAATAATTACAAATTGCATAACATGGGTTAATAATTGATAATAATGCACTTTAGTTTACAATTATCTATTAAGTTGACAAAGTTAATTAACATCAAATGAAGGCATAATGCACTACTCAATGGGCTCGGCCAAAGATACTAGAAATACAAGATAGAGTTCTCCACACAAAAAAAGTGTTCCACCATGTTCCACCGAAATGCATGGTGGGAATACGAAAAATGGGACGCCCCCTACAGCTGGATCTAAAAAAACTTGTGGCAAACTTTCGTTACCAAGTCGTTGCATATTTTATTATCAATTCTCAACAAAGATACTAGATATAAAAACAAACTGGAATAGACACCCAGACAGACATCGGTGAATACATAACCTCCTTGGTGGCGGTAGAAATCGTTGCTATTATCCAAATAATACACAAAACAATTAAAGCATAATCATGAATCAGTAAAGAATAAAACAACAATACAGCGCAGAATCGCATGGCCAGATGCACTCTTAGTGAAAAAGTTTTCCTCCATTAGTGGAAAAGGAAGGGCGCCTTTTGCGTCTGGATATACTTAGCAACAGAAGGGCGCCCTGTACGTTGGGCACGAAGTATAGTAAACTTGAATGGTTAAAAAGGGCGCCGCCTACGTTGGGCACGACTTCCGCCTCATTTTTACAATGCGAGAACTCTATCTTGTATTTCTAGTATCTTTGGCTCGGCAGACTTCCGACGACAATTTTATCCACGCTCTGTGAAGCGCCTACCTGAAGAGAAGTCAGTTTGCAAATTTTCAGAGCAATTGTTGGTACACCATAAAAAAAATATTTATCCTGGTACAGTAATATAAATATATGCACAGCTCACACCTAGGATGGCAGTGGCACAGTGTGTGCTCATTTTGAAAAAACCTTCCAAGTGTTTGTTGCATTTTGTTGGCCACCAACATCAAAATAAATGAATTAAGGCTTGCCATCCCAAAACCAGCCGACTGTCACTACTGGTAAATGTTAATCTGAGAAATTAGCATAAGAATGTGCATGTATACTTTAGTACAGAAAAACTAATAGTAAAATACTTTGGCAATATGAAGCCAATGTGGAGAACATGAATATATTAAAAAGCAATTTTCTTTTATTTTTCAATAAAATAATTAAATAATTAATTTTCATTAATACATCGCGAAGCATAGCTCTCAACGAATGTAGTCCTGTAAATAAGGACTACATTCGTTGAGATCTATGCTTCGCGATGTATTAATGTCCTTTATTAAACACTGTATTTACCTTTCTTTGATGATTTATTATATATAATTTAACAGTGTTAACGGCTATCTTGATTTATATTATATGTACCTATATTGTTTCTAGCCGTACCTATTGTGTAATGGAGTGTATCTGGTGGAATTTGAATCTGTTCAACCATGAAGCCTCCGTGGTCTAATGGTTATGACGCTCGTCTTGACAGCGAGAGGTCGCAGGTTCGAGTCCCGCCAGAGGCATTTTATTACACAATTTCTTTATTCTTTTATTTACAGGACTACATTCGTTGAGAGCTATGCTTCGCGATGTTACACATCTAGATGTGTATAAGAGACAGAATTACTGTCCTTTATAAAACACTGTATTTACCTTTCTTTGATGATTTATTATATATAATTTAACAGTGTTAACGGCTATCTTGATTTATATTATATATATATATATATATATATATATAATATAAATATGTATATATATGTATATATATATATAAACTAAACAATTCCTGTAGTGATATTCAGCCACCATGCCCACTGGCCTCTCCTCTGTCATATCAAAAAACGTTTTTTAAATGAATAATATAAGCATATAATGGTCCTATTACTCTAGAATGTTAGGCCTACAATTCTTTACCTTTACTGCAGATAGCATGGATTAAACCCTTGATTCTACAGCTAACCATCATACTCTAGACTCCTTTCTTCACCTAGCTGCTAGTTCAGGCTACAAAATGTGCAATGCATTTGCTAACCTAAATTTCTAAATAACAGGGATGCAATCGATTTCCCATTTGACCTTGTCACAAGGCAATGCAAACATTAAACGAAAACTTCACGTTTGTATTTACATAGAAACCATACTCAAACAAAAGGGAACTTTGGTTGATTGTGATTTGCGATGTATCACAAACCTACCTTTGAATATGTTCACGAGAAGACGATAAGCAAGCAAATCAGAGAAAAGACTGCCGTGAATTTTATACATTGTTTTCTACAGCGTGACGATTATAACTCACAGAATACTGTGTATGATTGGTAATTTCTTTCGGGAACACTAGGCCAGCCATAAACAACATTTTATCGATATTCTCGAGCAGGATTCGACCACTGGAAGTAACATGTATTATACACACACAAACTCACTCACACAGTTGGTTTTTCATACTCAACAAAGCATGAATAAATTAGGAATTGGAATATTTAACAAGCAAAAATTGTAAATGAAAATGAAAGTGTATAAGAATGTAATGGGTCAAATGTATCAAGTTGCTGGTTTTCTGTCATTATGATGAACAATTGTTACTTCTTGTTTAAAAAAACCTAAGTATCTCTGTTCTGGAAATATTTAATTTATATTCGAAACGTCGCCACAAATATGTCAGCCCCACCCTTGCACCAGATATCTACCCTGGTGACTATAAACTTCTCTATGAATCTATTTTGTAGCCAGTATATCCTTCACCGGGTATACAACATTAATCAGATATCTACCCTTTATCAGGTATACTCCCTTCACCAAGTATCAATCGTTTATCTAGTATACAGTATATCTTCCACCAGTTTGCCAACCCTCCACCAGATATCTGCCCCTTCTATTTTTTCTCTTTTACATTGTAGTGTACAGTGTATGTTCTACCAGTTTACCCACCTTCCATCCACCAGGTAGCTGCCCCTTCTATTTTTTTTCTCTTTTTTACTTTATCAAGTAATGTGGTTTGAAGGTTTTCATGGCAAAGTAATAATATATTTAATGCTTGCAGTACACCACATGGATAGTTCTGAAAAGAACTGTTGATGAAAATGTCTCTACATTTCAATTGAGTTGCTTCAATCTTCAGGAGAATGATATCTGCAGAAAATCCAAACAGGGAAATTTTTTGATCCAAAGTAAGAAGTCGCACTATTCAAACATATAAGTATTTTCCTGTTTCTTTTCAGAAATTATCCATGTGGTGTACCCTAAGTATTAATGATTAAACCAAGTAGGTTACTTGTGTTTTCCACAACACAAGTATGCATAATATTGGCCTGAAGTTCATTACTAATATCATGTCTAAACATATTATGTAGCCCTATTAAATCCAATCTTAACTCATTTCCTACAGCAATTATAAGAATTATAATAAAATTGCCTATCATGCCAACAGTACCAGCACATCTATCCATGCAGGAATTGTTTGAATGTGTACTCGGCCACCTCACTACCCACCCATCAATTTATTATATTCATATTTCTGTATGATCCTACCCATTCATTTTTTAATCTATTTGTTATTGGCTTATTTGATATTTCATAAGCATCTTAACTGCAATAGTGTAAATAATATACAGCAAAAATATGCTAGTATTAAATACTGTAAAACCTCGCTGCTTCTTTTTTATGCAAACTTTGGATGGGGACTTCTTTTCAAAACGAATGCTGTTAAGTTTAGGAATCTGTATCATGGAGCTGTGTATTAACTGGCATTACAGCACCTAAACTACTATATAAACCAAGCATGTTTTAATTTATTTTGTTTTTTGATATCCATGTACAGTTTACTGTATCTCGAAAAAAGAAGCCTATGCTACCTTGAAAGGAAGCCCATAGGCTTATTTTCGAGGCTAATTTTGCAAATTAAAGATGGGGGTTCAATTCAAGATGGGATTTTTCTCGAGATTAAGCCCAGTGGGCTTTAATTCGAGGTTTTACGGTATATCATCAGAGGAATCACTCGCTCATAATCAGATACAGTACGAATCCCTGTAGTAGGTAGTTTCGCCACACAATGTTAACCTTAACTTTACACGTTAGTACCCAAAATGCAATGCCATAGCTCCACCGCTTATGTAAACAAATCAAAATACGCATGCGGGAACCCGTAACTAACATACATCGAGCACCTAAAATCCTGAAATTAACGTACTCAGCAACGCAAGATGAATAAATTATGATGTCATCCGTTAAGGTTAACATGGTGCGGCGAAAACAACCTATTATCACTACACCCAGAAGAATTTTAATGTGATGTGAAGTGCAAAGTTCTTGTCCACACTAACAAATTTGATGTAACAAATGTGTGTGATGTGCCCATATATGGGCGTGATGATGTCATTACATCCAAATATATGCATATCACATTTATTTGTCACATGAAATTTAATAATGTGGACAAAGCTTAAATCTTATGTGACAAAAACTGTTGTATGCCCATATATAGTCATGATGTACCTATATATGGACATGAAATGCTTATATATGGTTATGATATGATGTCATCATGACCATATTAAGGCATGTCACATGCACACAAGCTACACTCACCTGCATATACTGGCCTCCTTCTTCATGCGTGCTTCCATTCCCAGCACTGCTCAGCTGATGATTTCTAAAACATATGAAAAAAAAAATTCAGATTATAAACGATTTGAGGAATTTACACTCAATTCTCCTGAGCATTTGTATATGATCTATACGTAATGCCTCATTGCTTTTAATTACAATGGGACACATTTTGAAAATTCATTTTATGACACTCATGTCAATAGCTATTTTAATACCATTTCATAACAAGATTTTAAAAGGTTTCATGTTATCTTATAAATCAACATAAAGATCTTCCTATTAAAGATGTACTGTTTCAAAAAGTCTGGAAAAAAAAACTTCTAAAAATAAAGATGAATAAATTTGAATGACTTTTTTCATCACACCAATCTGATTTTGCTTTACAGCATAGCTTTAATGTAAATATTATTAATATTATTTATCATTTATTAATTTAAAAAAATTAAATAATATTTCAAATATTTCTATAGGGTTTTCAATCTTTCAAAATTTTCTGGATCCAACTATTTGTTCAAGGCCTAAGTTTGGATTATTGATTGTCAGGATCTAAGTGTGGTTTTGTACCCTCTTCAAGTTTTGTTTCCCTTCTTTAATACTTCTTGAGGAGTTTCTTCATGGGTGTAGGCTAGGGGGTGTGGGTGGTGCAAATGCATTTCCCACCCCATGGGGAAAAATCGGTCCCACCATGTGGGTTATACAATTCTAAGATATTGAGTTTTCATTGGAATGGGGATTTAGTTTCCAATTCTCAATTATCATTAAAAACGGTTCGTTTTGCACACGTTGTGGCATTGCGTTCTCCATAGAATAGCGTTGGCTGAACAATTGGGCGTAGTAAATGCCCAGCTTTTGTAACACTCTTCGTTTTAATCTTACTATCTTGTGTAATTAAATATATGCGTACAACATCAGCGTTTCCAATGTTACTTTTCAAACTTTTTCTCTGATATTCTGGACTGTACGATTACTACATTCAAGTAAATATTTCATAAATTCAAATAGTTCGGTTTTCAACAACAAATGCACAAACAAAGTGTTTATATAATAAAGGCACAAGTTATTAATATAAAAGTTATCAGACCTTAAAATTCATTGATTAAGGGCAGTAATTACCAAAATAAACTAGAATATAATTTATAGTCCGCTTTTGATAATTTGTTGCATGTGGTTTCGCTGTTTGAAGTGTTGCACAAACTAAAGTCGCTTCATTAACCTGAATATCTACGAAACTTAACGAACTGGCTGCAAATTAGTTTTGCTTGGCTCGTAAATAAAGAGCGTTAAAAGAAGTGTTATTGATGCCTTTCTCAAAGAACCCTTGCGTTTTCAACATGAAGGGATCACAACAAAGACAAACTTTAGAGCATGGATGGCAACTCTCAGCACATGTTTTTCCCACACTAAGTTTAAATTATTCATAGTGCAATCGGAATAAAAAGAAACACAAACAACTTTTCCAAAATGGTCACTGAGTCAATTGCAGATGGTTTGTCACCAGATGGGAGTTACGCAATTTGTCAGTAGTATATGGTTTTGTAAACTCATGCATACCTATGCACAAGGCTGGAAAGATTGAGGGCAAGAAGAATAAATTCAATTTTGCCACCAAACTTATAGCATGTTAGATATCAGCCTCCCAGACAACTGAATGATGACCTCATTTTGTTTATTTTTCAGTCTAAAAATTTGTTCCAATCTCAAAAACAAGCAAGAAAGAATGATTCAAGATTATTTTATTGTCCAAAATACAGAAATTTAGTTTGGGTGAAACCATTTTAATACATACAAATACAAAAATATGTACAAACATCGAAAATAATACATAATAAAATAAATAACAAGAATACCAAAAAATAATCAATAAATATGGAAAAAAGATATGGCCAATATATATACAGTTAATAAATACAGAGAGACAAGTGATAAACATTAATTTAGATATTCGAGTTAATTAAACAAATATTGAAAAGCAAAGCAAGTAACATAAACATTCCTAAATATATATTTAGGAATGTAATATCTTATTGCAAAAGGTATGAATGAGTTGAGAAATCTGGTACGGCATAAGCCTAATAAACTTTTCTAAATTTTTCTAGTAACATTTTAGTTTCAATTACTTCCACAAATTTACATCTATAATTTACTTTAAATTGCAGTAAATTATTTAATTTAGTTTAAAAATTATTAATTATATTATTATCCCTGCCACTGAGGTTATCTTTACCGTGTTTGTCTATCTGTTTGTTAGCAGGAATGCCAAAACTAATGAATGCATCACCACAACATTTATTGGAGTGGCACATATTGGTCTATTAAGGGAAGTGTTATAATTTGGGGTAAAAAGGTTAAAGGTCAAGGTAAATGCATTCTATCGAGTGCCCACTCTTGTTACTATTGATGATCGCATACCTTCATACCAATCCCATCATACTTTCGACTTCCTAGTTCATGGTATCTAAAAGATGTAAAACATATTTAATAATTGGCTATCAACACAAACCTTTGCAACTCTCAGCTTGTATAATGTAAGGTAAACAAACCCTTTTTAGATAAAGTTGTTCCTGATGAGACCAACAACCACACTGTGGATAGGCATGATATTAACTCAGTATTTATAGACCTAGACATATTCAGTCTAATTCCTCTTCGATCATTCACAACAGTTCTGTCTGAGTGTTTACAATCAATGTTCGATAGAACGGTCAACAACTGAGATAAAAGGAGCAGAAAAAAAGCAAATAGAACCGCTTACAATTTAACGGTTCTACAGATTTAAACACAATTCATACGCCCATCACATTATCCACTGACATATTCAAAGCCAAGAATGAAGGGACTACAAAATTTTTATGTACACGTAGTGTACAAATTTACTATAAATGGTACGCCACAGTGGCAAACATGGTTGAATCACCATCCACTTTAATTTTGGGCTACCTTTGGCATAAATTTCCTTTTTTTTTCTTTAATAATGTTTGCATAAAGTAGGCCAAGTTTTATGACAAAATTAATAATAACTTTGAGGAAGGAAAGATCTACTAAATAAATTAATCAATGCTTGACTTTTAATTAATTTGATTTATTTTACTTGGAAAATGTATAAATCAAAATTTGTAAGTAGAAACCACCTGCTTTTTTGACAGATAAAATCCTAGTTAACAGAACAGGAGTAACACATGAGCTTAGCCCTATAGCTTATTTTATAGAACTAAATGATTTGTAATTGAGAGTGTATGATTCTGACAGGAAACAATACATCTCAAAAAAAAAAAATTAAACAAGTTTTTTTTTTTCCAGATTACTATGGCTAATGACAGGTACGCTTTCACCATTACAGTCTTTTTTCTACAAATGCAATGACCTGTATGAAGCACGAGCTCCTGTAAGACCATACCCAGTACCGTTACGATATTAATCGTGCAGGAAATTCACTCGTGATATATAATAAGAACAAATTTATTAACAAATTAGTTTTTATTGCTTTTGAATACAATGTTTCTAACACATTTGTTGCTTGGGGGTTTTTTTTAGCTCCGATGAGCTCTAGAAATACATGGCTGATCGATTAATCGATAGATCTTTTTTGTATGGGCGTTCGTTAGGGCCACTAGAAAAACTTAGCTGATTGATTAACAGATCTTTCTTGTATGGGCGGCCATTAGGGCCAATATTCTCTACTGCCTCTATTTCACTGCCCTCATCAAATTTTTCGAGATTAAGAGAACTTGTTTATATATATTATGTGGAGGACAGGAGGGTTTCTTGCAATATAAGTTCTATAAATATAACTTTTTATTTAGTTTTATTAATATCTTTATAGTTTATTACTGTTATTAAAACACTGAATTGCCCATTAAGAAGGATAAAATAACTTACATATCAACTTTTAACTTCAATGAGATGTTAAATGTTACAGATGTTTTGCTACAAAACTCCTCAAATCATTATTTGGGCCAAACAAATTTTTTTTTGTTGGCCACGTTTTGGGGAGGGGAAATTAAAAAAAAAATGGGTAGGTAAGTTTTATGCCTAAAAAGTAGAAATTTCACAAAAATACAACAAAGACAAACAAACAATTTAAAATCTATATTGAAGAGCAAAACGATCGCATAACACTGACACATCGTCTACCGTCCAGCAAGATGAGCCTATTCCAGCCTGTTTAGCTGACTGAATTACAAAGACGATAGATAATATTTCATTGATAAGAACATACAGGAGTAGTTTAGATCCATTGAGTTATATTATAGCAACATATTTTGCTTAAGCTACCCCTGTTTCACATTTCCAATTATTTTTTTTACAAAATGTTTTGTATTGAATAAAAATGAATCAATTTTATTCCTTTCCTGTATTTCTAGTGGCGGATCCAGGAAATCGAATTAGAGGGGGCCTAGGGAGGGACGATCACAGATAGATCTCCCCACCTCCATCCCACCATGATTGGGGCCAGCAAAGAAAATTTATGATTGTGGCACCTGACACTCTGAGACTTAAATTTAATTAAAATTCATATTTTTTTCTCAATTTATTTTTATAATTTTGAAAAATTTAGGGTGGGGAAGGTGCTCAAAACCTCCCCCTTCAATCTGCCACCGATTTAATTCTATATACGAAAGCATACTACAAAACTAAGCGTTAAACAAATGAAATCACACATTTTTTTTTTATTTATTATGTAAGCCAAGAATACATGACGATACTAAAACATAAAACTGAATGACCAAGATTACCAACATAGATACTTAATCACTATCAAGTGGTTACATCCATAAGGCTTGACATATAAGCTGATGGGTTTGTAACAGATTTTTTACAGGCGTTCAGTGAGTAATCATTTTTTTTATTGGTTTGCCATACAAGATTCCATAGATATGTGGCTAGTTTGCACAAGGAAGACCTAACAACAAACATTCCCTAACATATTTAAATAATTTTTTTTTTTTGGAACTATTGGCAAAAATGTTATTTAATTCTTATTTAATACTTATTTATTACTTATTCATACATGGTAACCTGTTTAGTATTAAGGTATTGTTCCCT